ACTTTTATATTACTAATTGTTTAAGCAGTGCGTGCAGCAGCCGTGGTCGCAAGCAGACTAAAATGTTTAAGTGTGGGAGAGCCATGCTTCGGCACGAATGGGTCGGCTCGACCGGAGTGATACCACGGCCTCACAGAAAACCGGCGTGAAATAACCACAGCGTTGTGTTTCGCCGTGTGAGTGAGGTTACCGGAGGCCCAATCCTTCCCCTTCCCGGACCCTTCCCCAATCCCTAAATCTCCAAATCCCTAATCCCTAAAAGGTCGGAAACGCACTCGTAACTCCTCCGTAGCGGGTGTCCACGGGCGGCGTTGATTGCTTACCATCAGGTAATCTGTCTGCTCGTTTGCCGACTTATTACATTAAAAAAAACCAGGTCGAAACGTCCAGCCTTCCAAGGCATTTATATAATTGCTTTTCGCGTCAATACCCGCTCAATGATATCGATGCTTCCGGCAACAAATGTCGTAAACGCCATTTTGGCGAAAATGAGTTAAGAATGCAGCCCTACTTAATTTTTGGCGCTGCGTCGATCTAAAAATGTGAAAAAAATATTCGCCTAAAAAAACATACTTTTACACCCAAAATTTGTACTATTATAATCAAGATTTTTTTGAAAAGAGGGTATGTATAACTCATATTGCTTAGAACCGCATAACCGTGCTGGTCGTATAATACAACGTACAAACAGCTGTCGGTCGTACAAACATGAATACATAATTAATTGTAATTACACCCCACAATCATTTTGAAAACGTAAGCTCTGCTGAGAAACAATTGTCGTAATGTCACTTGGTCTTGGAGAATTTGTTTGAAAAATGAATTATGTAGGTCGTTTTTTTTATGTTCCGTCAGTCCGTCTGTTCGGCAAACGAGCAGACGGATTACCTGATGGTAAGCAATCAGCGCCGCCCATGGACACTCGCAACGGAGGAGTTACAGTGCGTTGCCGACCTTTTAGGGATTAGGGATTTGGAGATTTAGGGATTAAGGAGGGATTGGGGAAGGGCAAGGATTGGGCCTCCGGTAACCTCACTCACACAGCGAAACACAACGCAGTGGTTATTTCACGCCGGTTTTCTGTGAGGCCGTGGTATCACTCCGGTCGAGCCGACCCATTCGTGCCGAAGCATGGCTCTCCCACACTTAAACGTACAGCGTACTCCTAATTTTTTTTAATAGGGTCAGTCTCATATTGTCATTGATACTCTTCCTGAGACTGACGAGGAAGATGAAATTTCTGATTAATTATCTTCTATCAGAAAATGAGGTCTTCAAATTTTTGGTTAATAAGTAATCTTCTATCCAATGACAGAAAATTATTAATCAGAAATTTGAAGACCTGATTTTCTATAACTCGTCGTCGTATTATGTTTTGCATCTACTTTTTTAATATCTTGTCGATAACACTTTCCCATTTTCACCAACGACACTAAAAGTTAGGTTTAGACCATAGTCTTTCCGAACAAAAAAGATCTAGAAAGATGAACTACCTAATTTTTTAAAGGCGTTGGTGAAAATGGACATTGTTTATTAAAATTATTAGAGCATTACTGCTCTAATAATTTTAATAGCTTAGTAGAATATTTACTTATAATTTTTTTTAATTCATTATCAATACATTTTAAAAAAATGTCGTTATTATAAAATCTTCTTGAAATCCACGAAACATAATGATTACTTAACATTTTGAATTATGTCTGGCCGGTTAGGTACGTCGTTGGAGGTAGAACACTATAGGCATCTTGTGACAAACGCTTGATTAAACTATACACGGGAAGATGCCTATAATATACTTACTTAAGTGTATTTTTATACCTTTAGGACCTGCCAGTCGAAAGGACTATAGACTTTCGCTTCAGATATTTCCATGTTTGTTACATACCATCGCATCAGATCGTGGTGTTTACACTCATTTTTATTTCAGTATATGGTTTTTAAAACCAAACCCAGAACTATTGTATTTAAAAACTGGTGCATACTTCTAACTTCCGTTAGACAAATCGTTCTCCATTGATTTGTTAGTGGTCGTAAATACCAACTTCTTGAATTTTCGGGGGTGTATGTCCAAGCCAACTTTTAAAATAAGGCTTTGACATAAATAGCAATAATATATTATGAAACACCATCGTATTTTACGTATTTCTTGTATAGAACACAATTTTACAACTTTTAAAGTTAAAAAGATATAAGCCAAAAACGAAAATATTTTTTGTTTTTCGTTGATTACCAAAAGTGCTATTTTGGTGTTTACGACCTTTGTTGTCGGAAGCATCGATATGGTATTAGTTGTATTTTTGATATAAGCGTTTAGGAGTTTCTGCCAGAAGATAATGCCGTTGTGGCCTAGAAGTTAAAGGGTGAGGCTCTTAAAGTATGAGAGTATGACTTTATCTATGTTATATTGGTACTTTTTAAGTTTTTTACTCATATTTGAGGAAGGGAGTAATGGCTGGTAAACCAAACCTCCCCAAAACGCCGGCAATGGACTTGTAAGGCCTCTTGGTATTGGGATATCCATGGGCGGCGCTGATTGCTTACCATCAAGCGACCTTGTCTATCACCCATAGAAAAGCTACTGGCAAACTTAAACACCATGGACTCTATTTTATGGATCTATTTTGTCTGTTCAAAGTGTGGGAGACCCATGTTCAGCACAAATGGGTCGGCTCGACCGGAGTGATACCACGGCCTCACAGAAAACCGGCGTGAAACAACCACAGCGTTGTGTTTCACCATGTGATTCCCAATCTCTCTCTCCCCCAATCCCTCCTCAATCCCTAAATATCCATACTCCGAATCCTAAAAGGTCGGCAATGCACTCGTAACTCTTCTGTTGCGGGTGTCCATGGGCGGCGCTGATTGCTTACCATCAGGTAATCCGTCTGCTCGTTTGCCGAACTGTAACATAAAAAAATCAAGGTACTGTGAACACCTATCAATATCTACCTACAATAAAACTCTTACTATTAGGTAGGTATTATGAAAAAATGAATTTATAATCCAATTTCAACCTTATCTGCAGCTGAGTGCAATACTAATTAGCAGTTACAGGTGATTATAGGAACATGGTGCAGTTAATTAGTTTTCCCCATATAACAACCGTCGACAGTTGCATTAATTACTTCACCTTGCTAACTTGATTTATTTATTTATGTTTTCGTTTTCTCTTCGCGGGCATTTGGATTTTGAATTTAGTACGTTTTTTGTTTTTTTTTATGTGAAAGTTCGGCAATTGAGCACTCTGATTAGGTACCTGATGGTAAGCAATCAGCACCGCCAGTCAGGGAAGCATTTGATTAAGGCCTCCCTTAAAAAAAAAAACTTCATTCAGCAAGTGATACAGGATGTGGCTTTTTGAGAGAGGCATTTTGATAGCACGGCTGGCGCGTTGGCTGGGCAACTGGCTACTGCACAAAATGTCGATTTCCCCACGGAACAACTGTATGATCCACAAATTGTTGTTTCGGGTCCGGGTGTGATGTGTATGTAACATTGTATGTTTGTAAACGCATCCACATCACAGGAGAAAAGCCAAGTGTGGGGCAACGTCTTCATAAAAATATATGTATATTATTATTTTCTTCGTGTTATGGGAAGCTCCCACAGTACATAGCGATATGATATGAGAATAGCTAAAGGTGGTGCTAATTATATATATACGTAGACAGGCTGGTTGTTTGTTTGTTGGCGCACAACAATAAACAACGTTGTAATGCCGTGTGTTTCCGGTGGAAAATGTCTATCTAACTAGCCGGTTAATATCTTTCTGACATACTGATGTTAAGTCAGATTAACTATTTACAAAAAAAATATACATATTACAATTAGATATTAGTAAAAATATATTATTTCTAGTTTTTAAATGAAATAAAATACATAATTATCAAATAAATTTTATTTAAAATAGGTATATTTTTACGACAATCTTAAAATGGTTGGTCAATGAATCCGGTGATTAAGCACTATGGAGGCATTGTTGTTATTCTGAGCAAAGTCTTAGAGTTCAGTTATTATATGTAGTCATCTAAACTAAGCGTGTACAAATAATTTAATATAATTTATCGCCAAAAGGCCGGCAAAGTATTTGCTACTCTAGTGTTCCGAATGTCCAATCAGTGTAATCAGGTAATCTTTTTGTCTGTCATACATCAAAAATACTTTTGTTTTATTGAAATGTGGAAGAGCCATACGACGCGGCGACGGTACGAATGGACCAATGATACCACGTCCTTTGAAAACCGACGTGAAACAACAATTGCATTATTTCTGTGTAAATTAGTTTCCGGGTACTTAAATCCCTAATCCCAAAAGGTCAGCAACGCATTCCTAACTTCTTGTGTGACATTATGAATATCCATGGGCGGCGCCGATTGCTTACGATTAGGTGACAGGATCTGCACATTTGTCGACGTATTAAAAAAATCATATAGTTTTTCCCTCTCCTATAAATTAAAAGTGGTGGCCCGAAGGTTAAGGTGCCCGAAACCTAACAAGTATCGATGTGAGATTATCCGAGTTATTTGATTGTAACTTTCTATGATTATTTTGACACCAATGACATATTGTAAAGGAAGACATGGTGAGGAAAACTGGACTTATAAAAGACTTTAAGCAAGCGTAATGATAATGCTCAAACGTTCTCAGTGTGAGAAGCAAGAGTTCCGCTGCACAAACCTTTTCCGCGCGCCTTTGCTTAGCAGTGCACTTATATGGTGATGATGATTTTTAGTAACATTTTACCGATATTTTCTTCTACCACGGCTCTTCCATCTGTGTATCCGTATGTCACATCAGTGCTACGGAACGTTCTCGTTCATTTCATTAGCGATCGTGAGCAGATATCGTTACTGCGTGCCGAGTTCAGACCTGCAGTATATGTAACATTATCAGATTATTAACGATAAGTAATTGGTGTGAATGTTTGTATATTTCAATTAGGGATGGGATTATTTCGAAAGTTATTTTCTGTATATTAACAAAAATCGCGGGTTACTCACGTGTAAATGTTGAGAAAAGCTCTACTAGTTTCGAACCACAGAGGGGTTCTTCCTCATGAGCAGCGTGCGCGGACGCGGCGACGTCGCGCAGCCTACTGGTTAGCGTTGGCGCCTGCATCGATGTTGATGGTTGCGCTGCGGCGAGTCCATTAATTTTGTCGTTTCTCAAGATAGACACGTGAGTAACCCGCGATTTTTTGTTAATTTAGAAAAATAACTTTCGAAATAATCCCATCTCTAATTGAAATATACAAACATTCATTTAGTTAATTTAGTATGTCTCACGATAGTTATTTTAAAAACAGTTATTTTTCTATTTATTTTTAGGTTATATCATGGCACATTGTTCGTTGCACGTAATAATACATAGGAATCTGGTTCTAAAGGTAAGTGTAATTCTAGATAGAAAGATCTTTGAATTAAAGTTTAAGAAAACTTCTTTGCTGGTATAAGAGATATCGTATAGTAAATGGCTATAAAACCTAATTGCAAGTAATTAATTGTTGCGTAATTCCTTATATGCGGAACACAGACATATGCGAGACACAATGAATGCAATGTGTTTTCTATTGTGTCGCCTGCAGATAAAAGTTAATTAAAGAGTTAACGACAATTTTTTTACTAATACCAAAGTAACAAGTTTCGATTTTTGTATCGTGCCGTTCATTTTTCTTGTGATGGGATGGTAAATCAGCGGATCACCTGATGGTAAGCGTACATCTGCAACATCAGAGGAGTTACGGGTGCGTTACCGGAGCTTTGGGGATAATGGTGTCGGAGATTTTGAGATTGCGGGAGGAGTCAAAGGATTGGGTCTCTAGTAACTTCACTTACACGGCGAAACACAATGCTACTAGGTTAATTTTGACGTTTCAATTCAATTCCACTAATAAATTGACGTATCAATTTTATTCAACCATGTTGTTATCATTTTATTCAACGGGACAGGTGACATAAACTTATTTTCATCCTAATTCCTTACATATACTAGGTACAAAACCCACTCGAGTCTAAAACATAAATAAATAATTACATGATTATGTTGAATGAACCTTAATCACTTGCTAATCACAGCTCTTCATGTTCCAACCAGCCTAATAACGTAATGACGTGCGAGCGAGTGAGCGCTCTATGAGGAAGCGAGACAGATATAAGTTGCGCCATACCTGCCTCGATTAACGGAGCTGCGTACACGCAAATTTTAGAAAGCATTTTGTTATTGTTTTTTGATTGGAGTTTTACGGTCATTTATGGTTTAGGAAGTTCTTTTTTTATGTGATACTGATGGTTAGCAATCGGCACTAACCATGTGCCCATGGACACCAGCCACCAACACCAGGGGAGCTATAAGAGCATTGTGTGTCTTTTGGGGATGAGGGTTTCAGAGATTAACGGGTAAAGATGAGAGGGGAAGATGGATAGGGCCTTCTGGTTTGATGGCATTTGTAGCTTTTTCTGTCTAACACTCTTATTTTATCACCACCTTTCTGGTGACAGTAGTCTGGTATCATATCATATAAATAATATGAAGCATTTTATAACTGTGACGTCATCAATAAATTTTTCCGCTCACAGTTCTGTAACGATGGCGCCAAAAATCTTTAGAGTATTTTAATCAATGTTGTAAATGTCTTAGAGGTTTAAATATAATGAAACTTTATCTGGAAATTGTGATAGTTCGCAAGATGGCTTTAGTTGTTTTTTTTATTTGGAGAAGTATGAGAATAAGCTTCTTCTAGACGAGTGTGTAGTGTGTAAGCCGATCCTCCATACAACATGTACTTAGTATTAAGGTTAGGTTAATCAAACAGTATAATATACGCCTTAGTCAAGTCAACACGTCTCATCATTTCGGACCTATAACATTGCATGGCGGATGGAGGAAGAGTGTGCCAGTTATCAAACTGAGGTTATTAATTTGAAAAATGACTATAAAAAGTTTCCTGGTCGTAAATGAGTATGTAATATGGGGTCGTGCAGGTTCTTTCGCATTATTATATTAATTGGATAAAAATATTTTGCTACCATTATTTAGTTATTGGGAAAGGAAATAAAATATATAGTAACATATAGTTTGTTAGGTATTAATATTATTTTATTATATAATTCAACTAATTTACAATTAAAACTTTTAGGAATAATAAAACATTACATTTTAGGGCTAAGTACATCAAACACAGTATTGAACATTTTCAAACAATTATTTTATACAATAAAAAGTTATTACAAAGTATGACATAAAAACGTATTCGACCACAAAAAAAAAATTAATGCAGTAATATTGTTATTTAATACGATTTTAAAATGACAACGTACATTTTAGAGCTATATTAAAATTGAGATGTACATGCATTAAACTAGTAATAAAGATTTTCAGACATTCAATATTATATAGGAAAGTAATTACAAAATATAACATACAAACATTTTCAACTACAATACGATTATATGTATAATACAATACGATATATGATATAACCATAACAACTTTATTATCTACAATGTTACAAATTCTTTATTATTTTTTTATAATAATTTTAGTTTAATAATAGTATGTTATTTAATGTATTGTATTTCCAATTCAGTCTTTTGAAATGCATCCTTTGCTATGTGATCGTCATTTATTTTAGTTTCTTCAACTGTTGATCGTGGTCGTCATTCATTTCTTTGAATATAGTGACCATATGTGGCATCAAAGAGTCAGTCAGAGCCACGCGATTATCGCTGTTTGGTTTCCAGTCGTCTGTTTTTGCCCAAGGTCATCCAGTGCACTCGTTAAAAAAAAGTGAACTGCAAATTGTGGACCTTATTTAGATAATTTATTGGCGACCTCTGGTGTGGTTAAGAACCGTCTGCTTCTTTGACTTTGAATGATAATCCTTTTATTGACATAGTCTGTGGAGATTACACCCCAGAATTGGAGTACTGGTTCCAAAGTTAATGGATGGTCTTATAAAAACTCAGTGGATATCATTCATTCAGATTTGTCATAAATCTATGACCAAATTTTAATAATCTGACTGGCATCTTCAAACTTAATGAGAAGAATTTGATCAGCAGTTAATACATTCAAGCTGATAATGATATTTTGCTTGATGATTGTAGCAAGTCGTAAGAATCATAGTTTCAGGTAACAGCTGACAATAATACCAACGCTGATGAAGAAGGAGGTTTTAGTTCAGCATTGGAAGTGGTCCTATTGATAATAATGATGTTAATGTCCAGATCGCAGATAGGTCACGTAGACTGGTAGATAAAGGGTGCCTTGTGGATGTGACTGATGATGAAGGTGCTGCTGGTGATGGGATTGATGCTCTTGACGTGGTGGAAATCTTGCTGTTGGATTATATGATGATCTTTTTCTAGCGAAGTGGCCAATTGAGTGTGCTCAGGGATTTTGTGGTGGAGAAGGAAGAATTTGGATTGGGATTGGGAATGAATATGGCATTTGACTAGTGGATCATTCTGAATTATTTGTTAATATTTAAAATAAAATTGACGATCAGAGTAAATTGATATAGGTTAGTAAAGATGAAGAGTTTCAAAGAATTTTGTGGATTTTATCTTAAATATATAACCATTAAATGTTTTATTAGTTTCTTGTTTATTTAATAATAAAAGTTCACTGTAATTGTAAACAATCTCTTAAGGAATATAGTATGTGGATATTTGGTTTAAAATAATATTTTAAGAAAATTTACAACAATTGATACTTTAGAATCTATAGATATAAATCTAGATTTTCAGTTTTATAATCAACCATACGAATATGAATTATGTTTTAGAATAATTGTTCTAAAGTTTACACTTGATGAAATACCAAACTGATTTTTAAACAGCGCAGTGAGCGCTTACTAAGCATACTACCTAAAAAGGGGGAAAACATGTAAAGTGAAATCTTAAAAAAATAAATTGTCTTCAAGATCTCTTATAACGAACAAATAGTTAAACAATCTGAATCTCTACCCTCACCTCACATCTTGAACAATACTAATTTGTATTTTCCTAAAAACTAAACCTCGTAAATAATGATCTCTAGAAAAATTGATTTGGAATAAATGAAATGAACGTTCCCAGTGTTAACAAACGTGGGACAGAATGAGCTAAGCAACTAGTAAAAGATGTACATAAAGACAAATTAACAATATTGACCAGGTTTAATGGAGTAACAGATGTAAAACCTTAAGAAATAAAAATCTCTAGGGAAATATAAAGAAAATTTTTAACAAATGAACTGAACCTCCCCATTTTAAAACAGACACGGGACAGAGTGAGCTAAGCAACTAGTAAAAGATGTACATAAAGACAAATTAACAATATTGACCTGGTTCAATGAAGATACAGATTTAAACCTTAAGAAATAAAAATCACATAGGAAATCTAAAGATTTTTAATAAATGAAAACAATGTCCCCAGTGTAAAACAGACATTGGACATAATGAGCCACGCAACTAGTAAAAGATGTATATAAAGACAAATTAACAATATTGACCTGGTTTAATCCCATTTAAAACAGACACGGGACAGAATGAGCTAAGCAACAAGTAAAAGATGTACATAAAGACAAATTAACAATATTGACCTGGTTCAATGAAGATACAGATTTAAACCTTAAGAAATAAAAATCACATAGGAAATCTAAAGATTTTTAATAAATGAAAACAATGTCCCCAGTGTAAAACAGACATTGGACATAATGAGCCACGCAACTAGTAAAAGATGTATATAAAGACAAATTAACAATATTGACCTGGTTTAATGGAGTTACAGATGTAAAATATTGAGAGATAAAATTCTCTAAGGAAATCTAAAGATTTTCAATAAATGAAATGAACGTTCCCAGTTTAAGACAGACATGGGACAGAATGGGCTAAGCAACTAGTAAAAGATGTACATAAAGACAAATTAACAATATTGACCTGGTTTAATGGAGATACAGATTTAAACCTTAAGAAATAAAAATCTCTTAAGAAATCTAAAGATTTTTAATAAATGAAATGAACGTTCCCAGAGTAAAACAAACGTGGGACAGAATGAGCTAAGCAACTAGTAAAAGATGTACATAAAGACAAATTAACAATATTGACCTTGTTAAATGGAGATACAGATGTAAAACCTTAGGAAATAAAAATCTCTCCTATCGAATCGAAATTAAAAATATCTCCTGATAATCTCTTAGATCCACGAAATAAAAATGTATTTGTCCCCATATCTTGTCAACTCCCAGATAAGAATAATATTTTTAATGAAGCAATTGAATCTTGCTCTCAGACAAAACCTTATTTAGAAAAACCTAAATCTCTATACGCTGTCGATCTCCTTATTTCAGATAAAAATCAAAACTTATACTTCTGTCCTACAAGACCTACATTTTGATCCTTGGGATTCCGAAAGTTACTTCAAATCACTATTATCATGTCTACAACAGAACAAAATAGAATCTCTTTTGTACCTGATCTACAAAACGATCTCACCTGCAAAATGAAAGGTAACGAACAGTTACGCATTACATCATATTTAGCCGAAATGTATAATTGTGATATTACAATCTGTTAAAATAATATAAAATATCCAAAACCTGAGGAAATTCCTCAAATACTGAAGACCTACCATGACGGACCTCTCTCAGGACATCGCGGTATCTTAGAAACTAACAGAAAAATACGTGACAATTTCTTTTGGAAAGGCATGACAAACGATATCAAAACTTACATCGATTCATGTGTTACTTGCCAGCGTAATAAAATACAACGAAAAAACTTTCAAGCTCCTATGATAATTACATCACAATCAACTGAACCATTCGAACGAGTGTCTATGGACCTTGTCTCTTATTCAGACATTAGCGATAACAATAATAAATATGTTTTAACTCTTCAAGATGACCTAACTCGATTCGTACAAGCCTATCCTATTCCCGATAAAGAAGCCGTAACTGTGGCTAAAGAATTACTTTATTTTTGTCAACATTACGGTGTTCCTAAAAGATTTCGTTCCGATCAGGGCACTGAATTCGTGAATAATGTTTTAAAACAATTAACAAAATTTCTCGGTTCCAACCATACTTTCAATACTGCGTATCATCCCCAAACAAATGGCGCTCTCGAAAGATTCCACGCTACCCTTACGTGATCACATACGAATGTATCACAGTCGTCGACTTAAAAACTGGGACAAAATTATACCTTTTGCCATTATGTGTCATAATACCTCAGTTAATAATTCCACTAACTACCCACCTCATGAATTATTATCTGGTTATAAACCACGTCCATTTTATAATATTAAAACTATTCCCGACTATACAGCCTGTGATTATCTAAAAGATTTAAACGAACGAATGAGAATCGCTCGAGACTCAGCCCTTAAAAACTTGCAGGCTATGAAAGAAAAAGCTAAAGATCGATATGATAGTCAAATTAAAAACTTTGCGCAATATCAAATAGGTAGTAAAGTTATGTTAAAAGTTCCTAATCCAACCAATTTGGACCCTAAATGGGAAGGTCCTTACCAAGTTATACGTGTTGGTTTCAATCATAACTACGTAATTCAGAAAGCCAATCGTAACCAACTAGTGCATGCAAATAGGCTCAGACCATACCATTTGCATGAAACCTTAGTTTAGTATTAATAAGAATAAGCAGAAAAAATTGTTTTTTTTTTACTCTTACAGGGTCAGCTCTACAGCGGCTCAATCCCCTAACTCCTATAACTTTAACGACATTATACAGAATCCTTATACTAGTTTCATCATTTGCTCAATTCTAAAATTATTTTTATACATTCTTCTCTACAAGTTTTACATCTATATTAAGAACTACATTATAAGTAAACGCAAGGTTAATTCGCAATCTAACATAAATCAAATTCTGTCGCTTTCAGGGCAACCACGGGAATTGTTGCCAATCTAACTCAACCGCTGCCTACGCATGCCGGATTATTTTATAAAGAAGAAGGCTCTATCACCATATCTGATGACTCATGGAAACTCATCGTTTACCGTGATCTTAAACCACATTGCTCATAAATCCTTAAAACGTCTAGCTTCTAGATTCGAACAATTTTTTGTAAAATATCCCACTTTTCCCAACGTTCTATCCACTAAATCGTATCTTAAGATCGATAAAATAGATAACAGACTCTCCGAACTAAATATTTACTTAGGTAAGAATTCTAGACAGAAAAGAGAACTTTTAGATGGGCTTAGTTCGTTGTTGAAATACCTCATCGGCACTCCAGATGCCAAAGACGCGAAACATTATGACGAATGTATCGATATGCTTGAGAAACGTAAACTCGATCTCACCTCTTTAATGCAGAAACAAATCCAAATAACTTCTAGTACTATTAGGAATTTCAACGAAACGATATTTAAAATCTCTTATGATGAACAGGTCATAAACGAAAACATTGATCGTTTAAATCAATACCTTAACAGCACCTCTAAAACTATTTTCGATTTAAAAATTACGGAAGATATCTCATCAATCTGAATTTTAATACTAGAATCGGTTACCAATCTCGAAAACGAGATTGACGATTGCCTCTCGAGTATTTTATTTGCAAAATCAAACATAATTCATCATTCAATCATTCCCAATTCCTCTCTCTATACCACCATCCTACCAGGGCATAAGTATTTGGCCACAAACCCTAGTGGTGAACACTACGTATCCACGAGCTCCTTGGACAACTGCAAGACATACGCTGAAAGAAGAAGCGTGTGCCGAGATATCATCGTCTACAACTCTGATACACGCCCTGTTTGTGAGCTACAAATCCTACTCAGTGTCTCGAACGACATCCCCACCATCTGTACAACTACAACCTTCGCTGCACATATCAACACATTCCAACGCTTGGAAAACAACAGATGGCTCTACATCCTCAGTAACGCAACACAGTGCATCCTTCAATGCAACAATCAAGTCTCGCATCACAACATCTACGGATCAGGAATTATTACCCTTGAAACAAACTGTAAACTTCACACGGGATACAGTACGCTGTCAGCACACCAAATCAAGGAAGACAACATCACATTCCCGATTATAGTTCTCGACATCAGAACCGAAGATTGCTTCGAAGAAACTGAAGATCATCATTTTCCAAACCTTCTACCTATCTCAATCAACGAAAATCCACTAGACTCACTCAACAACCTCAAACATCAACTAGATAAACATAACGAGGAAATCCAGCAGATGAAACAGAAACCCTTCATCCAACGACACCAGAATAGATTTTCTTGGTTCTACTTCACAACGGGAACCCTCATGCTATCATTTTTGATGTATAAATTATTCAGAAGATGTCTAAGAGTTGCAAATAACTTTGATCAACAACTGCTTCGGACGAACATCACGACGACATCAATGGACAGGTCACATTCAGAACATCCCGATGACCACGTTGAACCAAACCACAACGTCATGTATGAAGATGACAGCGACGACAATTCCTCCACTCCAAAAAGATTCGGCGCTAACGCCCAATCTTTATTCTAGGAGGGGAGGTGTTATAAAATATAACATTCCTTCCTATGTGCTTATTTACCTTTACTTCTCATATACTTGTACTTTATTTTTACATTGTCAATATTGTTTACTTCATTTATCTTTCAATCTTTGAACTCTATTTCACTAACGATTTGTATAATGTGTTATTAATATCTAATGTACCTCATTTAGGTTACAACTATTTGCTGTTCTCAAAGGATGTTATTAAGTAATTAGCCAATAGTGATTATTTAAGTTGTTATTTACTTTTCCATTCATTTCTTCATATAAATACGTGCCCTTAAGTTAAAGTAAGGCAGTTCTATTCCTACATTCTATTGTTAAACTTATAATCAAATCTCAAATAAAATAATATTTTATTTTTAAAGTCGTTTTTGCCACTATCACATAACAAATTTAGCGTACATAAAGACAAATTAACAATATTGACCTGGTTTAATGGAGTTACAGATGTAAAAATTTAGGAAATAAAAATCTCTAAGTAAATGTAAAGATTTTTAATAAATGAAATGAACGTTCCCAGAGTAAAACAAACATGGGACAGAATGAGCTAAGCAACTAGCTAACTAAAAGAAGAACATAAAGACAAATTAACAATATTGACCTTGTTTAATTGAGTTACAGGTGTACAACGTTAAGGAATAAAAACCTGTAATGAAGATTTTTAATAAATGAAATGAACGTTCCCAGAGTAAAACAGACATGGGACAGAATGAGCTAAGCAACTAGTAAAAGATGTACATAAAGACAAATTAACAATATTGACCTGGTTTAATGGAGTTACAGGTGTAAAACCTTAAGAAATAAAAAACCTGTAAGGACCATTTTTAAATAAATGAAATTATCGTTCCCAGTGTAAAGAAAACGTGGGACTATGAAATACTTCAAGAAATGAATGTACTATGTACAATGTATTGAACTAGGCTCGAGCATGAAAATTATTATGTAGGCCAAAAATGTTGTGGAAATAAGAGACTGCCTTAAAAAAAGCTTGAAATCGAGAGTGTTCGTCGAGGGTACAGAACCGGAAGGTCCAAAAATCTTTGCAAACCTATGAAATAGATTTCGCACTTGATGAACTATACTAATCGGTTTTTTCGCTACAAATACTCAAATCCTCAACGAACCTCAAGGACAAAACAACTGGGAAACGGGGTAGTGAGATACAGTCAATGAATGCAATAGATATTTGAATTTTAAACATCTGTAATGCATGGATATAATAATGGCTTTCGGTGCATTTCTTAAATTTCAACGAATGAATGTCTAAATCGCATAGTGATGCTAATTACTAGCAACAAAGCTCATCAGGTTGAACCTATAGAACAATACTAAACTGTCGGTAAATATTTGAATATCAAACTTGTATGAATGTCTAAATCGCATAGTGATGCTAATTACTAGCAACAAAGCTCATCAGGTAGAACCTATAGAACAATACTAAACTGTCGGTAAATATTTGAATATCAAACTTGATTATTGAATATCAAACTTGTATGAATGTCTAAATCGCATAGTAATGCTAATTACTAGCAACAAAGCTCATCAGGTTGAACCTATAGAACAATACTAAACTGTCGGTAAATATTTGAATATCAAACTTGAGTATTGAATATCAAACTTGTATTTATGCCTATATCGCAATTACTAGCAACAAAGCTCATCAGGTTGAACCTATAGAACAATACTAAACTGTCGGTAAATATTTGAATATCAAACTTGATTATTGAATATCAAACTTGTATGAATGTCTAAATCGCATAGTAATGCTAATTACTAGCAACAAAGCTCATCAGGTTGAACCTATAGAACAATACTAAACTGTCGGTAAATATTTGAATATCAAACTTGATTATTGAATATCAAACTTGTATGAATGTCTAAATCGCATAGTAATGCTAATTACTAGCAACAAAGCTCATCAGGTTGAACCTATAGAACAATACTAAACTGTCGGTAAATATTTGAATATCAAACTTTAATGCAAGGAGTATGAATTTATCATGACATCTTTTCTTTAAATTAAAAATGTAAAACGAATAAAAAAATAAGATTTTTTATGAAACTGAAAATCTAGTAGGTATCTATAGAGATTTTACATATTAAACGAAATATCCAATTAATTTTACTCCTACATTTACAAAATTCCCAAATAATTCGATGGTGAACTTTTATCATTAGACAAAGTACAGAAAATAATAAAACTTATACCCCCTTATTACAAAACAAGGTTTATCTTTAGTCCAGGTTTAAACCATTGAGTCGGGTTTTGAAGTTTGAATCTTATTGTCATCTACCTTCAATTCGAAATACAAAAACTGGCTCAATGGTTTAGTCCTAGACTAAAGTAAAACCTTGTTTTGTAATAAGGCCGTTGGAGTTCAGTCCGTGACTGAAGATGTAATCTAGAAACTTTATAATTTATTGTAAATAACATTTAAACAAACAAAAGACTAACTATGATCGCCAAGAAATAAAAAGGAAGCCATATTAAGGAATGGGATATCATATTAAAGGAAATAGAAGGAACAGAGCACACAAGTTAGGCCACTTACCATATTTACATCAGCGTGTTCAGGATCCAGGAGCTGCATCTTCGGCAAGATGACCAAAGCCGTCGACGACCACAAAATAACTTGGCAATTCACTTTCAATCGGTTCAATTAAACTTAAAGAATTTTTCCGACTCCGCCATTATGAGACAGTAGGAAGAATGGCGTCTGCAATCAATCCTTATTACGACACTCAGAGTAGATACTACATGTTTGAATATTGAAGTAAGACTGACTCCCAAAAACATTGTAGAAGGGTTTATATAGTGACCGATAATGACTTTAGGGTTATTGTCAATACAATGATAAAGATAACGAGAAATGACCATTGTATTAACGAGTGTCATTGTTACAATAGGTACCAGGTAATAGGTACTTATGAATACAAAAGACAATTTCCGAATTTGCAAAGTTTGTCAACACAATGGTCTTTTGTCGGTCTTTATCTGAAGTGGTAACGACATCCGAGAAAAGACCATTAATTTACAATAGACCTAAAGTTATTTGTTAATAAAGTCTTTTTGGAATATGCGTTTTAGATAAGTTTCTTTTGTTCTTATGTATAATGGGGTATTATTATTATCATAATTTATTTAACCATGTGGTATTTGACAATGGGGTTAAAATCCTTGTAAACTTGCTAACTTGCTGAACACATTAAAGCTGTTAATATTATATATATGTATAGGTGTGGGTACGCCAAAATTCGGTAGGCTTTATAGAAACCGGCGCGAAATTATAGTCTTGTGTCTCGCCGTGTGAATGAAGTTACCAGCGGCCAATCTTTCTCAATCAGAGAATTATCGCTGGCTTCTGAAACTCCCTCTTGGTCCATACAAAGAGGATGAAGCCAATCAATGAATAATTTTTCTCGCTAAAGACCAGAGTTGGAGTCAAGTACTAAATGTTAACCTCACTCAATTGGCAAATATAACGCTGTGTTATTTTCCGTCGGTCAGTGAGGCCGTGATAAATTCGCACGCAATGTGCACCTAGGTGGTAGGGTACATAAGGATATATATTAAGTTTTGAATCATTGTGGGATGTCGGGCATAAGAATAATAATAAATTAGGATAGGTATTACCCCGATTGAGCTGACCTATTCATCCCAAAGCATGGCGCTCTTTTACTTGTATACACTGATGACGATATCGAGAAATGACCATTGTGTTATATTGACAATGGTCATTGTAATAGAGCTTAAAGATACAAAGGTTATAGGATTAGTTGTTTTAAGTTTGGTGTTTTTGTTATGTATTTTATATTTTATTATCGCATAAACAGGTCATGGTAATCCGCAGCTGAACTATGAAAGTACTCTACAAAAGAAAAGGTTACCGATATATCCATACCTGGAAGACAGCGTAGTGGCTTTGTCTTTCACCATGTGGTATTTGACCAACGACAGTCAAAGTTCTTGTAGAATTATTATTAGTTTTGGTGCTGAGTACATTACAGCTGTTATTATTATTTATTCATATTTAAGTGTGAGAGATCCAAGGTTGATGTTGCAGTGACCCAGAGGTGAAGAAGCCCGCTTCTCATGCATAAGGGTGCGGTATAAAAACCTAGCAAGTACCAATGTGACTTTTTCCAACACCATTGACTTACGGCAGAGGAAAAAAAAACAACGCAAGGAAACCTAGACCTAATTTCGAATTATAACTTTGAAATCAAGGAACGATTAGTGTTCAAATCTTTCTCCGTGTGAGAAGAGGCCTTTGCTTTGATGTGCTGTGATGGTGTGAGCCAAGCTTAGGCACAAATAGGTCGGCTCAACCAGGGTGATGCCACGGCCTTACCAGCGTGGAATTATAGCGTTTTTTTTCACCGTGTGAGTGATGTTCATCACCATCATCATCTTCATCATTATAATCAGCCTATAAGTGACCACTGCTGAGCAAAGGCCTCTTCTCATACGGAGAAGGTTAGAGCATTTATCACCACGCTTGCTCAATGCGGTTTGGCGATTTCAAACTTATAATTAGAAATTATAAGTCCAGATTTCCTCACGATGTTTACCTTCACCGTATGTCAGTGGAGTCTAAATAATTATAGAAAGTACATATATCTCAGAAAAAGTCACATTGGTACCTGCCAGGTTTCGAACCCACACCCTCATGCATGAGAAGCGGGCTTCTTACCTTCGAGCCACCACGACATTTTCACATGTGAGTGAGGTTACTGGATTCCTAACCCTTACCCTTCCCCATCTTGTTCTAGGACTAAAGATATTAAAGTATCCCGTTGCAACTTAATTAATTAAATTAGTATCCCGGATACAGACAAGTGTCTTAATGTATCAGTTGCTGGAAATGTCGTGATTGCTTCAATAATAAGCCCACCAAACACTTTCAAACACGCCTTTTGACGTTGGCATGGGGCCAGAGAGAGTGATGGTGGCGAAGCATGGTGATGAGATTGAGCAAGATTAC